TGACTTTAAATGCTTTGGCAGGTTCTACTAATCAGTTAACAAGCATTTATAATGTGCCAGGCACTGTGCTAAGTAGTGGGAATGCAAAGATAAAAAGAAACGGTTCTTGCCTTCATGGAGCTTCTAATATAATCATTACAAGATAAATGGGGAATGGAGGGCACTAGCATCTGGGAAAAAACTAATGATTCCAAGAGGGAAAACATTTCAGGCATGGGGGTGGAGCATTGTGTCCCAGAAGGTGATTTATAAGAAGACTGGAAAGGTTGGAAGGGGCCAGGTTGTGAAGAATTTTATTGAAGAGAGGATTCCATATTTGATTCTAGTAGTAATAGAGATCAACTGGAGTTTGGAGGTGAGGGAAAGTGGTGACCTCGACAGGTGCATACTTCAGGAAAGTCACTTTGGCAACTCTTTCACAAAGGATGGTTTGGAGTAGTGGGAGGTTTGAGACAAGGAGACCATTGCAATTATCCAAGTAAGTGCTTATGAGAGGCTGAAACAGGAAACTTTAGCAAGCCCAAAAGGCTTGTGAGTATGCCCTGGAATCAGAGCATCAGCCTAGCATGGACTAAGTTTGGTCCCTGGGTAATGAATTTGTTGGACCATGCTGAAAGATGTCATAGAGTGATGTGCAATAGGTGGAGAAAGTACCTATACTGAGGGATACCTGAAGTGTGGTGTCTTACCTTTTTTTTAAACCTGTAAGAGAAAAGATTGTATGGTATTAATATTTTGATTTTATCGTTTGAGAGCAGTGTGGAATAAATGCCTGTCAGGAGTGACCTAGGTTCAAGTTCTGTTTTTCACATGTGGCCCTGTACATGTCATTTAACCTCTTAATGCCTGAGACAATTCTTTAAGACTTTAATTCTTTAAGACAATTCTTTAAGTTGTAGAACAATTGCTCATCTGCATTGATAGAGGGAGTTCCCTCACCTAGAGCTTCCTAGACTGATGAAATCATAGGTATTGACCAAAAAAAATTAGAATAACATGTTCAGATACCATTATCCTCATTTTTGTGAGAAGTTGAGAATGAATAATCCCTGGTCATACAAGTTAATGTAAGGTCCAAGTTAGCTTTTAGAAGCTTCATTAATTCCACAAAGAGGTCCTTTGCCATTCAGCTCTATTACCTTTATATTCAGAATTAATGAAAGGCCTCCTAGTTATAATTCAACATTTATTTAGCACCTACTGTGTGCCAGGAGTACAGATACAAAGAACAAAAGTCCATTCTCTCAAGGTCTTATGTTTTAATGGGGAAGACAAGTAAACAAAAAGTACAGAATAAATATAAGGAGAATAAATACAAATTAGTTTGATAAAAGCTTGGGGAGAGGGCACTTGTGATGGGAAAGAGTTCACGTAGAAGCAGTGCTTGAGCTTCATCCTGTAGGAAAAAAAGTTGTTCTGTAAGGTGGTAACATTCTAGTCATGGGGGATGGCCACGGCAAAGGAACAGATATTGTGTAAATAGTGTTGAGTGTGAGGGGAGGGAGAGAAGGCCAGTCTGGATGGATCACAGAATGTGAGGGAAGAGGAATGCTAATACAGTGAGTCTAGAAAGATAAGTTGGGGTTTAAGTTGGGAAGGACTTTGAAAGCCAAATAGAAATTTGTATTTTATTCTAGAGGCAATAGGAAGGCACTGGAATTGATTAAGTACAGGAGTCAGACCTATGGTTGAGGAAAATTATTTTGGTAACTATGTGGAGGATGAATTGGAGTGGAAAGAGACTTGTAGCAAGCAGGGAAACCACTTAGGAGGCTATTGCAGTAATCTACAGGGAGAGATGATGAGCACCTGAACTAAGGTGGGTGGCTTGTTATGTGAGTAAAGGGAAGGGGGCTGAAATGAGGTGTGCTGTGGTGGTAGAAACAGCAAAATTTGAAAACTGATTAGATAGATATGTGGTGTGAGAGTGAGGAGTTAAGCACGAAAGAGACAGGTTTAGGGGCAAAGATAATGAGTTCTGATTTGGACATACTGGGTCTGAGATGTCTTCAGGCTAGCCAATTTGAAATTATTAATAGGTGATTGGTAATGCAGGATGGAAGCTCACAGGAGAGACTGGGCCTGAATATACATATATACACACGTGTGTGTGTGTGTGTGTGTGTGTGTGTGTGTTAAACCCACGGGAGTGGATAGTTTTGCCAAAGGAGAGAGAAGAGGACTCAGGAGAGAGCCCTGGGGCACACCCTCGATCAACTAGCACAGCGTCGATTGGTGGGTTTGGAAGAGTTTGGGAAGTAGTGGTGAGATGGACGGCAGAACTGGGAGAGAAGAGTGTCATTCAGGAGGGTAGGGCAGTCATTAGTGTTCAGTGCTGAAGAGAAGCCAAGAGGAAGGAGAGTTGGAAAGATACAATCCAATTTGGCAATTAAGAGGTCATTGTTAACTGACGAGCTGGGGAGTTAGATTGCAGGGGGTTACAAGAGAGTAAGAGGAAAAGGTGGGCAGCTAGATGGTGAAGTGCATAGAGAGCAGGGCCTGGAGTCAGGAAGACTCTTTTGTGAGTTCAAATCCAGCTTTAGACACTTAGTAGCTGTGTGACCTTGGGCAAGTCACTTAACCCTGTTTACCTCAATTTCCTCATCTGTAAAAATGAGCTGGAGAAGAAAATTGCAAACCACTCCATATCTTTGCCAAGAAAACCCTAATTGGGGTCATGAAGAGTTAGATATGACTGAAATGACTCAACAACAATGAAGAAGAGTGGAAGCCTCCAGTGTAAATGGCTTTTCCACGGAGTTTGACTGGGAAAAGGATAGATATAGGATGACAGCTAGCAGAAGTGTTGGAATCTTGTGAGGATTTTTTAAGGATGAGAGAAAACTTGGGCATATTTGTAGGCATAGGAAGGAATTAGTAGGGAGAGTTTGAAAGAGAGGGCAATTATAGTATGTTTGATGTACTGGAGCATATGGAAGAGGTGTAACAATAGCATCAATGGTACTTGGAGAAGGGTTGGCTTTGGTAAGAAACAGGGCCACCTCTTCATCAGAGATTGTACTAATAGAGAAAAATGTGAGGGGTACTCCCAGAGTATTGTGACATGAGGGGGAGAAGGACCTCAATGATGGCCTTGATTTTTCTTGATAAAGTGTAAGATGAGGGCTTTAGCTAGAGAAGTCTTGAAGAGCAAAGCAAAAATTTGGATCAGCTGTTGAGAGTATCCATTAGGAAGGAATAAAAAGATTGTCTTGCTTTGATGAGGCCCAGTTGAGGTTAGATAACAAATTTGTAGTGGAACCTCTCAACATGATCATGTGACTTCCAGCCCCATTCTGCAGGAAGTGAGAGGAGGAGGAAGGGAGATGGTAGGAGTAATCTAGAGTTGAGATTTGGTCAGGCATTGAGCATTGATAGGACAAGGGAACAATGGATTTGAGAGTAGAGGCTAGCGCAGGGGCAAGGCCACATGTGGCTCTCTAGGTCCCCAAGTGCATCCCTTTGACCAAATCCAAATTTCATAGAACAAATCTGCTTAATAAAAGGATTTGTTCTGTAAAACTTGGACTGAGAAGGCCACACCCAAGGACCTAGAAGGCCACAGGTTCCCTACCCCTGATTTAGACACTACCCACAAAATCTGTAATAATGTTGACTTTCCTTTGTAGTGCCTGTCCCAATTCCTTGGCCACAGTAGGTGCTTAATAAATGTCCCTGGGCTAGTGTATAGTTGAACTGATTAGAGTACAGGAAGAAAGAATGGAAGATGATGAAGAAGGGTTTTGAGGTGTGGGATGGAATAGAAGAGGAAGCTTCTGATGGAAGATCTTTATTTTTTCAATAAATGAGTACGGAGGTTGGTTAAGGGAGATGTGAGGCAGGAGGCTTGGAATGGTCAATGGACATTGTGAAAGTTAGATGTCTTGGAAGACTTAAAACAATTGCTGTAGATTAAGGAAGGCACAACTGAAATTAGATGACAAGTTTATTATGAGCAATCACAAAATCAGTTTAAAAAATTCTATTTTCAGTGCCATTTCCTCCTAAAATGGGGCCTAAGACAGTGCCTTCTACAAACTGTTCAATAAATATTTAACTTTTTGTAGTACTTATCTGGTTAGAAACACTCAACAAAGAAACAAAAACAAAACCTGGTCTTAAATGCTTGATCATTTTCTTTGGAAGCTATTTTAAAAATTTATTTAAAGAAAGAGAAATCTACTTAGAATATGAAAGGTAGTTCTGCATGTCCAAAGAGAATAAAAGGCAGAAACATGCTTGAGCCACAATATCAATGACTTAGGTTTGACCTAATAAAGAATTTCCTGACAGTAAGGGTGGTCAGATACTAACATGAATGACTTACTGGCTTGTGCCATCTACTTTTCTTGAAGTCTTGAAAATAGGATCAAGAGTGTCCCGGAACCCATCAAGAGTGATGTTTTAGATTTTAGGATTTAGATTTAGATCCTCATTTAGATTAGGACAGTTTTAGATTTTATAACCACAGAAATAATGTAAGGAATTGATGCTGTTTTAATAATATTATTTTTCATTCCCTGAAAAAGATGCTAGATTTCATTTTACAGTGTTTTTAAAAATCAGCACATTGTTCTGCACAAGTATCCTTTCGATGAAGGCTTTCTGTATGGGGAAAGTGTTTCCAAAAAGTTAACTGAAAATTTCTTGTTTCCAAAGTTGTTTTTGAAACAAGTGTGGTTTCCTATGATATTTTTGTGTGTGATGCACAAAATGTTAAATTGCTGTTCTTGGTAAATGAAATGATAGGATATCTCAGGGTATACATCAATTTTTTTTTTTAAGTGAAACTTCCTGATAAAACCATTTGGCCTCAGGTGGTTTTGCATTTTTGGTTCTTGATTATTCAGGAAATCCCCTAGAAATCAATGTTACTGTAATCACATAAGTTCAAATGTTTTGTGATACATTCAGTGTTTTATGTATTTTTAGAGAATATTTCAAATTTAGGCAGATTAACTTGTATGCTGCTGAAGTAACACAATCTTTTTTATTTTTAGTGCCACAATGGCAACTGCACCTTACAACTACTCCTACATCTTTAAGTACATTATTATTGGTAAGTTACACATAAGCATTTTATTTTGAGAGCAAGAATTTTAATATACTGGAAAGTTTGCACATTGAAATTTGCCAAGAGTATACCTCAAAAGGAGCTTGAAAATTATATTTATATACATATGTGTGTATATATTTATATACATATGTGTGTATATATGTATATACATACATATACATATATATGTTTTTTTACAAAGCTAACTTTCTTTTACAAGGTTTATTTTTATGTTAACTCTGTGTCTTTGTACTTTGTCCTGCTTTTTTAATACAATACTGCATGTATGGCTTTATTAAGCCTATTTTGTTAAATGATGGAATTATCTGAAAGCTCTAATTCTTAGCCAGAAAGTATAATAATGATGATGATGATGTGATTGGTTCAGCATTGCTAGGAAATGATTCTAAAATTAACTTAGAAGTGATCTTTCACTAGATCCCCCAAATTAGTATAGAATAATGTAGTTTGCGTAAAAGATAATGTTAACTTAAACTAGAAAATAAGAATGATTCTCCTGCTGCCTGCCTGCTTTCATAGTAATATTAATTCTATAACTGAGGGTTTCAGTTTTCTCATCTGTAAGATGAGGGATTTGGATTAGATGGTCTTTCATCTCTTAAAGCTCCTATCAGCTCTAAAATCTACAATTTTATGATTTTGTATTAGTGTCTTGAGGTGGGTGTACTGTTACTGTAAAATGTGTGTTAAAATACAATACTATTGTATCTTATTCAGGAAATAAATTGCTGCAGTCACAAATGTCATCTGTTTAGTTATGCTTCTTTGCTAATATGGAATATTTTCTGATGACAATCCACTTTAGATAGGATATATGTGAGAAGGGGGAGTAAATGAAACAAGGTACATAAAGTGCATGAATTGTAGTTTTTCTTGTTGTATACCTACTACTTTTGTCACATTTATCATCTTTTTGCTTCTGGCAAAGATCAAAAAAGATTACAGAATATTCTGAAGTTGAAATAGGTTTAAAAAAACATTAAAACAAAGACCTTTAAAACAAAATCTAGGGCAAAATCCATGTCTAAGCTGCAGTTGGTGAGTCATTTTAAAGCAGTTTGATACCATATTCCATGCAATTAAAAATTGGAATAGTCCTGTCATCATCAAAGAATATGACCTGCAGTAGCACTACTTGGTGTACTTTGTCAAATTGAAGAATATCATTCTTCTAAATGTCACTGCCATATTAAATAATAGTGTGAATCATTAAAGCCCAGTCTGTCATTGATAATGAATAATAGGAGTGTAGTTGTAAGAACTTTACCATCTGGAAGTACTGACACACTGTCTTTTTTGACAGGGGACATGGGAGTAGGAAAGTCCTGCTTGCTTCATCAATTTACAGAAAAAAAATGTAAGTGTAAATTTTTAGGGTGGAACCTTATTTTAGTGTTATTTTTACCTTTTGTAAATAAGATGTCTTTTCTGCTATACCATACACAATTGCAACTCACTTTTAACTCTGCCTCTCATTGCTTATTTTTTTGAGTGGTGTTGCTTTTCTAGTTTTATATAGGACAGAAGAGTAAGCGGAAAGAACTGAACATTCATTAACATTTTCATGGTGTTAGATTTTTGTGTCTGCTGAGTTATTTTCTGTCTGATTCTCTAAGTTTGGAAATCTGACTAAAGCTTTTAAAAAAAAATTAACATTTAACACCTAGTTTTCATGATTCATTGTTCTGAATTGATATTCTGGAAGCTTTGGATATCTACAAAGTAGAGATTGTAATTGTTGTTTATTTCATTGGATGAGAGATTGGAGTAGATGACCTATGAGGTTCCTTCCATCTCCAGAGTTCTTAGAAAAATGCTGCATGTATTAATTACTAATTAAATATCAGTAGACTTGATTGAAACATTAATTTGAGAAAATTCAATCTTTTCTAGATTAACTTATGTCTGCTATGATTAAATTAAAAGTTCAAAGCTTGGCTGTTTAGTTTTTCTTAATTAAGGGAGGGAGACAAATTATTTTTATGAAAATGTATTTCTAAATATTGGAGATGGTTTTTTGGTATTTCTATTTATCCAACCATAATTAGAAATGGAGTTGTAATATTTTAGGTAGTGCCCAGTGCTGTTTTTGTGTATATTCAAGAATATTGGTTTAGCAATTTAACATCCTGCTTGTGGAAGAAAGGACTAGTAAATCTATACCCTAATTAGCTATAAGTTCTCAATGCACATTAATTAAATTAAATAGGTAGTTTTTTTCTGAGACACTGATAACTTTCTAGAATAAAGAATTGACCAGTGATTCTTGGAATCCCAATTCCACAGCTTTCTTTTCAAGGGGAGGTGGTACTAGATTATTACTTTATTTGCAATTTATTATTGGAGATAGTTTTTGAAAAATCTTTGTGCTGCAGAGCTTTTATTAAGCCTTCCCACACATAGTAGGTAATGCATCTGATAGTAATGAATTTAAATAGTGCAACCTCATAACTTGGTTCTGTGAAGTACTTGATTTTTTAATTAAAATTCTTTTTTTTGCTTAATAGCCTGGCCCAAGTCTGACTTCTTTCTGGACTTTGGACCTCTTGGTCTGTACAGCCATAGTAGAATTTACTAAGGTATTGAACTAGCAAATAGATCACTCATTCAGGTGTTTGATGGATTTCCCCCCTCCTAGGTTTAGTTTGAAGGTATCAGAATTGCAGAGGTAATGTGACATGATGTAGGGAATGCTGAATTTGGCATCAGGAAGAACTGGGTTTAAATCTTGTCTGACAATTATAAGCTTTGTCTGATCATGGTAAAGTCATAAACTCTCTGAACTTCAGTTTCTTTTTCTGTAAAATGATACTTCTTCCCTACTTCATGGTTGTTGTGAGGCTTAGATGAGATAATGTATATAAGGTATTTTATAAACTTTAAAGTGTCATAAAAATTAATTTTAATGGATTTGGAGTCAGAAGACTTAGAGGCAAGTCACTTTAAAAACGTAACAGCAGTGTGACCAATGACAAATCACTTAGTTTCCTCATTTGTAAAATAGAGGAAATGATATTTATACTGCTTTTTAAAATGTAAAATGGTATAAAAAAAGGTGTTATTCCTACTGTTGGGAATCTTGTAATTATTTTTCATTTAAGACAAAGATTTTTACCTCTCGGGGCCTCTATTTCCTCATCTGTAACATGAGGGGGTTGAACTCGTTTGTCTCTAAAGTCTCTTCTAGCTCTAACATCCTATGATTCTGTGACGTGATTTTCAGTAGAAATACCAGAAGTTCATATATATTTTTTCCTCCTTTGGTGACAGTTATGGCTGATTGTCCTCACACAATTGGTGTTGAATTTGGTACAAGAATAATTGAAGTTAGTGGCCAAAAAATCAAACTGCAGATTTGGGACACAGCAGGACAGGAGCGATTTAGGGCTGTTACACGAAGCTACTACAGAGGAGCAGCAGGAGCACTTATGGTCTATGATATTACTAGGTAAGAAGTCATCTCATCTTTTTAGTAAAATTACTTTGGGTATTTTTGTATTTTTGGTTTGCTACTGCTTATGAGATATTTGGGTTTCTTGGTTGTTCCCTTTAATTTAAATAATGCAAAACTTGAACATATATTACTGTGTTGCTTTAAATACATGCCATATCCCTAAAACTGAAATCTCTTTGAAAGAAAAATTAAGGGCTGAAAAGTAACACTGATTTATAAGCCACATTCTTGCTTTATAGAATTCAGATCCGGGAGGAAAAAAAATGCAACCTGTTCTTGGGGCCATACAGAGTGCCACCCTCTTCTTCCCCACAAGAAAATAGATTGGAGACAAAGATATATAAGATGTGAGAGTGTTGGACCTCCCTTTAAGGCCACAACAGCTTTAAATCTATGCTCTTATGATTTGGAAACACAGAAATCTGAGTGTATTTAACAAGTAAAATATTATTTGGGATATTTCAAAAATACTTTTTGCGTGAATTTTCTCTTAACATCAGACAAGGAAACATTGAAGAATTACCTCATTGCTTCTCAGCTTTAAAAATCTTTATTTCCATTCATCCAATGTCAAAATTAGAACTGAAAGAATACATTTTTAGAAATGTAAGGTTGTAGTGGTACAGATAATAAAAAAAGCTCTTATATTTGCCTTTGGAAGGCATTTTATTACTTATTTAACCATGATTTTTCTCTTATCTGAGAATTCACAAGTAGTTCATAAACTAATGAAGCTACAAATGATATAATTTGATATCCATAATGCATCTATATGTTCAGGAAATGATGAAAATCTGAATGCGTTTATCCTCTGTTCATTACAGAATGAAGTCCAAAACTTAGGGCCTACCACAGTCTCATCTCGATCTTATCTCCCAATACTCCCTTTCATGTGCTCATATACCACAATTGATTTGGGGCCATTTGCTGTTTCTTGAAGGGGATATTTTCCTGATTTCTTGTGTTTACAAGGTTGCTCTGCCTAGAAGGTTCTTCTAACCTCATCTTTTCATCTTTAAATATTATACCTCCTTCAGCACTCAATTAAAATACTTCCTCTCTTTCATGAAACCTGTCCTGATAGCTACTCTCATGCCTTTTTCTTTCCCTTCCCTCCAAAGAAAATCATCTTTTCTTCCATCATTTCTATCATGTTTTTCTTATTCTGTATTAATTACCCATATCATCTTGTAAATTTCTTAGGGGTAGGTACCATGCCTAGTTCACTGTTGTATTTCACATTGTACACTATTTTGCATAGGCACTGAGATTTTTGTCAGAATTGAATTTTTTGAACTGAATAACTCATCTGTTCTCCTTCGTATTTACATCCTTGGAACAGGTTGTATTGTCTCTCAGATTGATGCAAAGGATCAGGCTAAAGGTTGTAAGGTTCTTGAAGATTGATTGTCATTTAAAAAAATATTAGCAGAGTGTATTTTTGGAAGCTACCTAAAATTAAGTTGAATTGAAAAACTGAATTCTAAAATTGGTTGTTCAGGTCATCTTTTTGCATTTAGTTATTTTGTTTGACTTCATATTTTTTTTCTTCCCTTAGCAATATATCTTATATTTGGGTAAGCATATAATTACAAATAGCTCTTCCAATAAAAGCTCCTAATATTGAGGAAAGACTTTGTTGGAGAAAACTTACACTTTTACAATTGAGCATCACTAAGAAAGTTCAGACTTGCAAAACAGGATAAATTGGGGAGTTGTTTACATTACTGCAATTTGGTTTCAATTCAGCAAACATTTATTCAGTCCTTGCTGTGGCTCAGGTGAAAATACAAAGACAAAAATGGAATATCTTTTTTTTTATCAAGAAGTTTATATTCTTCTGGGGGATGTGATGGTGGTGGAAGTAAGAAGGACATTGCCAACTGAGGGGATCAGGAAAGGTTTTTTTGTAGGAAGTAGCATCTGAACTGTGTCTTGAAGGAAGCCTGGAATTCCATACATAAGGAGAGCATTCCAAACGAGGAGTAGTGTAAAGTCACAAAAATGGGAGATTGAATGCCATGGATATGCTACAGCAAGTTTGGCTGAAACAGAGAATTTTTGAAGGGAAATAATGTGAAATCAGTCTAGAAAGATAAGTTAGACAGTGAAGAGCTTTAAGTGGCAAACATAGAATTTCATATTTTATCCTAGTGGCAGTAGGGAGCCACTGAAACTTCTTGAGCAGGAGAAGTGACATAGGCCCACAGGAATATCAGTTTGTGGACTGTGTAGAGGAAGATGGATTTCAGAGGGAATTTCTTGTTTTCTAGAAATAACCACCTAAAAAACTCAAGAAAATTTTTAAATAAGTGGTTACAAAATTAGACTTATAAACAACTTTTCAGAAATACAGCTTATATAAAGTAAAGCTGTGCAGTAAACATTCAACAATCTAGCCATGGCTTTATTCTTTTGGTTTGACAAAGAATTTAGCAGTTATATACTAGAAAATCCTAAACTCTAAGAACATGTGTGATATTTTGACTGATTTTTGATATAGCAATTAGTTTTCCTGGAATGAGAGCTCCCCTGGGAAGAGTATGGTCAGAGCATTAAGTCCCATTTACATCATCATAAAAGGATAAGTTTTTTGGAACAATTTTTGATCGCAAGAACTCAAAATATAAACTGTATATTTTGTTTTTAAGTATTAGATATTATAGAGTAAGATATATTTATAGAGTTAAAATATAAAAATATTAAAGGGTTAAAAGCTATAGATGCTTTGGTGGAAAGAGGTTTGGGTTGGGCATGTCAAGAGCCCCAAGGGTCTAGTCTTGGTTTTGCCATTAATTAGCCATGTGATCTCAAGCAAGTAATTTTTACCTCTGGGCCTCAGTTTTCTTATCAATAAAATTAGAGGATTAGATTAGATCTGGAGTCCCTTCTGATTCTAAAATTCTATGGGTACATGAAATTTCTTTTAAACTTTGGAAAAATATCTCAATAACATAAAGGTGTTTTGGGGTGTTTTTTTTTATTGGTATCTTGTGATTTACAAGTTATTTGTATCTGTTTGTGTTGTCTTCCCCGTTAGATTGAGAGTTCTTCAAGAACAGGGACTGTTTTACTTTTCTTTGTATTTCCAGCACCTAGCACATTGCCTGTCACATAGTAGGTGTTTAATAAATGTTTATTGACATTCTGATTGGCTCTGTGTCACAAACCAACCAAAAGAAAAAAGGCCCTTTACAGATGGAGAATGCTATAGAACATCTATGCTTAGAGAAGAAGGAGAAACACAGGACAGTGATTAGATATACTCCAGGTAGTTTACTTAAATAAAAAGAATATTTGATATTTGAGTTCAGAATTCATGAGAAATTTTCCCAGTGCTGACAAGCTAAATTTCTCAACATTTAGAATAATAGTAGACTCATGGAATGGTAGAGCTGGAAGGGGCTTTTAGATATTATCTAAATTTATCTAGTTTACCTCTGTCAAAGTTTTATAGATGAGGAAACTGAGATACAGAGGTAGAGGTATTTGCCTAAGGTCATACAGGTAAGTTGATGGAAGAACTAAGAATAGACTCTTACGTTTCTTGAATCCTAGTCCAATGCTTGTCAATCCTTACCCAAAAAGCTGTTGAGATTAACACCAAATATGTCACTTTTTTGGTCAGCCAATTGTATAATGTATGGATCCATTTTCATTGATTTAAAAAAAGGCCCTTCCAGCAAAAAGACTTAACATGTATTTCTGTTCTAAATGATAATGGGTTGGTTTGCTAACACCAAAAAATCTTTTATCCTAAATTCTGAATTTAATGTGAATTGATCCAGCCATTCTGGATAGCAATTTGGAAATATGCCCATAGGGCTATAAAACTTGTGTACCCTTTGAATACCACTACTAGGTCTGTATCCCAAAGATATTAAAGGAAAGGGAAAAGTACCTATTTGTACAAAAGTATTTATAGCAATTCTTTTTGTGGTGGCAAAGAATTGGAAATCAAAGGGAAGCTTATCATTTGGAGAATGGCTGATGGTTGTGATGAAATACTATTGTGCTATATGAGAAATAACGAACAGTATGGTTTCAGAAAAGCCTGGGGAGACACATGAACTGATGCACAACGAAGTGAGCAGAACCAGGAGAACATTGTATATAGTAACAGCAATCAACTGTGAATGGCTTAGCTATTCTGATCAAGACAGTTCAGAAGGACTTATGATTAAAAATGCTATTCACTTCCAGAGAAAGAACTGATGAAGTCTGAATGCATGCTGAAGCATACTTTTTAAACTTTTTCTTTTTTTGGGGTGGGGTTCCCTATGTTTTCTTTCACAGTGTGGCTAATATGGAAGTGTTTTGCATGACTGCACATGAGTAATCTATATCAAATTGCTTCCCTTATCAAGGAGAGGGGCGAAGAGGGAAGGGAGAGAATTTGGAACTCAAAAATTTCAAAAATGAATATTAAAAATTTTTTACATGTAATTGGAAAAAATATCAAAATTTAAAACAAAAAATTCTGAACACAAAACAGTAGAAATTTAGTCAACGTATTCAGACATCAGTATAAAATAATGTAGTTGTCTTAGATTTCTAACAACTCAATTTAAGGACAACTTTTGTTGTTTCCCCTTCATCTGATATTGGCTAGGTATTTTTACATTTAATTTGAATATCTCTATTTTGTGATTGAAAATCTCCCAAGGGGAATTTAGCAAGCGCTTTTTAGGTTTGACTTACTCTAGTCACAATCCTGTTCTGTCATATGTTTTTAGGTTAATTGCTTGCTCATTGATACAGCTAAGGAAATGTATTGAATTGTAACAAAATCACTCCTTGAAAATAACAATTTTGTATGTTTAATAGGAATGTATATGTATAGCCTATATCAGATTGTGCACCGTCTTGGGGAGGGTGGTAGGGAGGAAGGGGGAGAAAAATTTTAAACTCAAAAGCATATGGAAGTGATTGTTGATAAATCAAATTAATAAAAATTCTGTATTTAAAAAAAAGAAAATAAAAATTTTGTTGGGTATTTTAAAAATACTACATTGTGGGGGCAGGTAGGTGGAGCAACGGATAGAACACTGGCCCTGGAGTCAGGAGGACTTGAGTTCAAATCCGGTCTCAGACCAGACACTTGACACTTACTAGCTGTGTGACCCTGGGCAAGTCACTTAACCCCAGTTGCCTTGCCAAAAAAAAAAAAAAAAAATACATTATGTTCTGTTACAAGACTGAAAAATTTGTATGTTGTATATCTTTGGATGAAAGTATTTACTATTTCTCAGAGAGATGCTTGATTAAAGTAGTAGTGTTAGGTTTTTTGTAATTCCATGGTTTTAGATAGTTCAACAAAAATGAATAACTGATTAAATAACTGTAGATTGTCCTCTTTATTTATATGGAACCTGTATATTAGCTGTTAAAATTTTCAACTTCAATTTTTGCAGAAGAAGCACGTATAACCATTTAAGCAGCTGGTTGACAGATGCAAGGAATCTCACCAATCCAAATACTGTAAGTTGAATGGCATTTTGTCATAATATGTTTTTAGCTCTAAGCTAAAGGAACCTACAAAAACAAAGCTTTTCATTGGTGTGACTGAATTTGTTTTCTGATAACAGGAATAAAAACTGTCATGTAATTTGTCACTACTTCATTATGGAAAAATGTATTTCATCCTTTGCTTCTCAGCTTTTACATGTTCTTTCCATTGATTGTATTCTTTGTAAAAATGAAAGGTATGAATAGACTGGGCCATTATAACAGCACATAGAGCTTCAGTTTGAAACTGTTAAACCTGTTCAAACAAATTCTTGAATTTTAAAATGGGATCACCCTGTTAATTTTTTTTTTATACTTAAGCCATATTTTATGGGAGAATCTTGGGTTTTAAAATACCTTGTATGGAATACTGATTTGGATTTTGGTCCTTGAAATTTGTCCACTGGCCTACAGAACTTCTCACACACTTTGTAGCTTGTATTGTGCTCTGTGTGTGTGCGTGTGTGTGTATGTATGTGTGTATTACACATATGTACACAGAGCCTCACAGTCCCTTGTATTCAGGATTAGTTATGCTTGATTCCTCTTCTCAAATCTGGGCCCAAAGATAGAAGGTACAATAGTGGATGTTGGCAATCTGGGAAACTGGGTGGCATATGGGGGTGGCAGGAGTCTCCTACTGATACATCTGTCCCTGGCAACTTTGTGTTTTTCTTCTCAATTTCCCTCAAATATGGTATAGATGGTATATAGAAAATGCACTGAACTTGGAATCAGAAGACCTGAATTTGAATCCTGATTGTGCTCTTTACTGTGTGACCTTAGGCAAGTCATTTAACCTTTCAGGGTCTCACTTTACTCATCCATAATATGAAGGGATTGGACTAGATGGTGATCTCTTAAGATTCCAGGTTTTTTCTAGCTCTTAATGGTCAGGACCATCTTTTCTTTTCCTCCTCTTTCTCCTCCCCCTCCATGACCCCACAGCAGACTTGAAACCTTGTTCTCTATTATTGGTACTAGGGGGTTGGTGGATTTCTGCTCCCTGGGCTTTGATTGTCAGCTTCTCCAAAGGATCATTTATCCCAAAGCCAATTTCCCATCTTTATTGCAGATAAAGAAAATGGTATTCATATCTCCAGAGATTATCCTCAGTTCATTAACATTTTCTCGATGATATTTGCTTCTCAGTCTTTTCATTTGTAGGGACAGGTCAGAAAGAGAGGCCTTAAGTAAGGAAGAATGGCTGCCATTTAGGGGATTATGAAGGATTCATGGTGGCATAAGGTAGTACAAGGGATTTTAGGGAGATAGGTTGGGATTGTATAATACAGGGTTACGAAATGTGATGTCATTGTACACCTTTGTCTGTAGTTTTCCTTTGCAAGTCTTAGACTCAGAATCTGACCAAAAAATGGACTTAGGTCTAAAAGAAAGTCCTATTGTCCATCAGCCTTTAAAGATTATATAATTTGCATGGTTGACTGTATTGGTTGCTTGTGTGTTAAGGTATGTTTGTTTTTGTCTCTAATCAGGTAATAATTCTCATAGGAAACAAAGCAGATTTGGAAGCACAGAGAGATGTTACATATGAAGAAGCCAAACAATTTGCAGAGGAAAATGGTGGGTTCCCTTTAAGAGTTTACTTTTTAAGATGGCACAGCTCATTCATAACTGAGAGAAATGTCCAAAGACAGACAAGATTTGAGTACTGAAAATTGTTTAACATAGTTTATCAAACTGCAGGAAATCAGGAGTGAAGTAAATACAAATAAACTGGACATAGGTACTTACAAAAATAGAACAGATCATTAGTCTGATGTACAATACAGATATTACTGTCCCATACTTTTATATTCTTTTAGTTGTTATGTAAGGAAATACCTAAGTTATTGGATGACTTTAGATGAAAATTGAGTAATATCTTTGTGAGCTATTTTTAGGATTTTAAAATGACCTAATAGTTGGGTTTTTTTTTAAATTTTTTAGGCTTATTGTTCCTGGAAGCAAGTGCAAAAACGTAAGTAATTTATAGCTTGCAGTGTTTCAGATATGTTTATTTCAAGATGTTTACTTATGTCTTAAAAAATGGACAAAATTTTTGTGAAAAGTATTGCTTGAAATAAATGTCTTTGTAGCAGGAAGAACAAGTATATTTTCATTAATATCAAAATAAACAAGCTAAATTTTTTTTTTTTTTTTTGCATAAAAAGTTGTGCCTTGATCACAGCCTTCTGGTAATTAAGTTAATGAATAAAACTATTTGCATTCACAAGGGTGTAAATTTCATAACATAGTATGTTTGCATTGATACCAGAAACCTAAGCTCAGTTAACACTTTCATATAATATTTCTGATTGAAGGAATAAAAGATGACTTCAATGCTTAGTTCTTAAAATTCATAGCACAGTGCATTTTCTAATTGTTCTTTCATGCTTAGTTAATGAACATTAGGCTCCCATCACTTGGACTTATTACCTCTTTTAGAAGGAAAGATGAAGGCATTGCTGTTAGTTTTGATCACCATATACATCAGTAAAATTTTGTTTAAGGTCCTGGCCACAGCCTGTGCCTTTAAGCCTAGCCAAGAATCTTCCCAACATGTGCCAATGGTCACAAGGGTGATTGGGTGAGGATTAGCATAAATCCATGTCTGCAAAAACAACACTGTGTCTGTCTTACTGATAATGGGTGAAGATCTGGAAGACAGTATCTTGAAGTTGATTCTACATGCTTATATAGTTGAGTTTCTTATTGTGTGACCTTTCATGGAAATGGTCAAAGCTAAAGTTGTTGAATGGGAAGGAACATGTTAACTAATATAGCGTCTCTTTAATTCTTGAGTTTTGTACAGCCAGCATTTAAGTTCTGTTCCAGTATTGTTTCTGTAAATACCTGTTTCTTGTCCTTGCTCCCTGTGCCTCAAGTTTCTTGAGCTTAAATGAGGTTGATCTTTACTGTTCTTTCTAGCTCTAAGACCTAGGGAACCTATCTATGCTTTTTGCTTTAAGACACTTTTTGTGTATCCCTTACACCAAGTTATGTGCTAAGAAAGCCCTGGTTGAAGTAGTGGCATTGTGGTAGATGAGTCCTCAGAGGGGGAGATTATGGAAAGGGCAAAAAGGTATGGGAGGATTTTGTGGGGTGAAGAGTGGGTAAAGAATATAGCTCTCCATTGATCTTGTTAATTGCTTCTTAGGGGAGAGAATGTAGAGGATGCATTCCTGGAGGCTGCCAAGAAAATCTATCAGAATATCCAAGATGGAAGCCTGGATCTGAATGCTGCAGAGTCCGGGGTACAACACAAACCTTCAGCTCCGCAGGGTGGACGACTAACCAGTGAACCCCAACCTCAGAGAGAAGGCTGTGGCTGCTAGTGACCTTGATGCCATAGTCCCATTTCTGACTTCACCTCTGTCTGTTGGAAGCAGTACTTTTTACTGCCTCCTTGTCTTCTGTACATCTTACTGGGTTTGATTTAAAAACTCTGCTGAGAAAACAGGTTAACACAATACTAAACTGCTAAACAACTTTAGATGTAATCAGGTCCTCAAAGGCAAGTAGAGTAATAAACCTCTCCTGCATGGTAAAGCTAGAAGTTTTTTTTCCCCCCCTTGATTGTCCTTGTGATAGATATGTCACCAATACATGATTTAAACTGAGCACTGATGCTGGACTCATGATTTTTAAACTTTTTTGCAGGGCTTTGTTTATCTTGGACGGTTTTAATTTAATGGTCTCTTAAGCCTTTATCCCCAGTTCTAACTGTTCCAAGTATGTCCATTATAACAGATAAATTTATTTGCTGTGAAATGACTTCTGACAGAAGGAAAGGGGTTCTGTAACTGCATTTTTTTGTTGGAGAAATTTCCCTGTTGGGTGGGTGTTCTATTTTTTTTTTTCTTGCAGGGGTATGTACGTTTACTTCTGTCTTAGCCTAGCACAGGGAAAATATCCATTTATCTTTTTCTTGTGCTCAATAGCTTTAGCTCTTCCTCCCAACCCATTTTATCTTTATCTTTGTTAATGGAACGTAAATATGTATAAAATTTGAAGGAACTGAACTAACAAATACATTCTGTGTATATGATTTTAATGAAGAAAATAAATTGATTACTGGCATTAGAACAGTATATAATAAAATACCAGTTTGTACAGTATCACTTATATGTGACCATGTTCCTCCTATTTTTCCATTTAACACAAGGAAACAGACACAACTGCATTTCATTAAGTGATATTGGCTTAAATTCCTTATCCCTGGCAGTTTTTGGAGCATTCATTTGCTGGCAGGGGGACATTGTACTGGGAAGAGCTCCCAATTCAAAAGGATTAACACTATCAGAATTTAACGATTGCTGCCTTTGTTCCATCTCTGCACTATGGTATATCTGTTGTTCTCTTAACCCTGTTCCTGTGCAATCAACAATGTGCTAACCTGCTTTTCTCTTTTGTAAACATTTTTGCATTATTGGGCTGCATTTCCTGCCTTACTGTATAGGGAAAAAAAAAAGGCTGGGTTTATTATTGCACATTTTAAGCTTTTATACCTTTATCTTTTTGGAGTGGTCAGTTTCTGAACTGGACAGCCAGACTGGCAGGTCTGCTCTTTGGAAATTTTAAACTGTGCATTTTTAACACTACGGTGAAATCATTTCAGTCATATGATCCCTCTTATTTAAAGCTTTGAGGGCCATTTTATGCCATGTTGGCATAAGTAGTTTTGTAAAAGGGAAAGTATTTCTAATAGTGTTTCAGTGCATATACTGACAGGATAAACTTTACACTAGCTAGTTTGGCCAATCAAGTGTTTCCCTTCTGTGGACTAATTTAAAATTTGTTTTATGTAAAGAAAGCTGGGATGCAGTTATTTTTTTTTTTAAGACTGCTGGGTAAACTTTGGCCTGTTAGAAATAATGCATTTAGTAAAACTGCAGTGTTTCAAGTACACATTTTAAATTCCTGTTGCAGACAAGTAAGGTGAATTCTCTATTTGTCAGAATTGTAAAAACACGGTGGTACTAGAATATTGTATAGTCATTGTTAAAAGCCAAAACTGGAATGTGCAGATGATAGGATTTGGATAATTTTATGCACTGTCCGTTTTTTTGTTTATTTTTGTCTTTTTTTAAAAACAAAACAAAACAGCATAAGATTCCTGTTGTAGATTGGTGAATACAGTCGAATTTACAGTTGCTCCATTTTGCCGAAACAGTTGCACATAAGGGGTTCACCCAGGGACCATGACCTACTGGTATATATAAATATATATGTGTGTGTATGTGTGTGTTGCACACACACATACACACACACACACACACACACACACACACACGCCCCCTCTGGGATATAAGGTAGAAATCACGATCTAAAGATTACAGCTTGTTCAGGTGCGATACCCTGACTCCCAAAGTTAGTTGCAGTGGGTCTTAATTGTTTCTGTGACAGAAGGATTTGTTCAGACTGCTGTACTCTTCATTTGATGTAACAAAATGCTATTAATCTAAATATTTGTAAATAAAGTACCTGTATCTAGATTAAATTATAATTAGTTGCTTTATTTTGCGATCTACAAGGTTTAGACAGTCTACAATCAAGGTTTTGCTTGACAGAAATTGTTGGTTGCCAGGTATTGCCAGACTCCTTACTCACAACATAATGAAATGGCATTATTTGTTAACTCTTAACCAGATTACTCCCAAGCCTTATAGCTCTGGGGTTTGGATTTTGTTATTTGCAGAGAAAACAGCAATGAGAATGTTCTTCCGTGTAACTTTACATGCAGTGCTGATAGTCTTTAAAAAAAAAAAAGCATTTGGGGCCAAATTCTGTTCTTAATTGCATGTATAGACCCTCTTAATAAAGGTGGGTGCTCAGAAGTGGGAGTAAGTGAAATTGTTTTGTTTGCCTTAATTTCTAGGAACTAAATTTAGAGTTTGGTTGGAAAGAAGAAAAAATTGCAAATCGTGACACGGGTCACACTTCAGTAAACTGCTTCACTGGTTTTAAGTTGTTTGGTATAACACCTGTAAGGAAGCTCCCAATTTGTATCTGGTGCTCATTGCCTATTTATTCTATTAGATTACATTCCAGTACAATGTTCAAGTACTTTCATTGTACAATAAATTACATGTTTAATGCAGTAAACTTGATTTTTTTTTTTTGTTCACCCGTGGAGACGATATTCAGTTATTAGTTTGAGGTAATCAAGTTTCCATGGAACTATAATCCTACCAAATGTGGGTAGAACCTGGGTTCTGTTCCCTGCTACTTGAGTGATCTTGAGCAAGTCGCTTAACAGCTCTGAGTTAGCTGAGGAGGCCTCAGCCTCCTCATTTATAAAATGAGGATTAGATTACTTTCAGAGGTTCTTTCAATTTTAACTCTATGATCCTAAGGTCTTTTGAAAATGTGTTTTAAATATTATGATTTTATGAATAGTTTCTCTTTGAAATAAGCTCTAAATTGCAGTGTACTGTGATATTTTGTTTAAGTAGCAGCAGTGTGGATTTAAGTATGTCGGTACTATATCTAAAATCTATCAGTTCCCAACAGGAGACTATAAATTTCAATTGTGTCCCATTTCAAATTTGGTTTGATGTCATGATTCAACCAATTATTGAGTAGTAGAGCACTGGACTTGGAATCAGGAAGGATTCAAAGTATTGGCCTAAAAGACGATGTGTTCATTTGGACAAGTCAGTATGTTTTATGTGTAAAACAAGGGGTTGGGGCTAGCTCATTGGGTCAAATCTCGAGCTGAAATCAAAATACCTTTTTTCCGTACCAGTATAGAGATATTTAAAGAGTCTGGGAGGCAACCAGTAATTCAGAAGAAATACCTAGTTATGTCAGTGGCATGGATTTTCTAGTCAATGAAGTAGCTTGTATTGGATTCCTAAATGATGTGTCAGAAAAATACAAGTAAGTATTGAGCTACTTTATATGATAGAATGAAGCTAAGGGGATTAACATAAGTACGATGCATAGAATTGGATTTCCTCATGGGTCTCACATACCTTTGAAAATTATATTTTAGTCTTCATTAATGCATATATATCATAAAATATCTAAGGTCAAGAAATGGGGACATGTGCTGGCATTTAAAATATATGCATTTGCAAAAAAGTCATTAAGTGCCTTTGTGCTCTTTAGTATGGTAAAAGCAGGTGCTTACTATTTAGGCTATATTTTAAGAAACTAAGATAGAAAAATATATTGAAGCAGCATGGGTTCAGTGGAAATAACAATACCACTCACCACCTGAGTGATCTTGGGTGAATCGCTTTACTTCTTATCTCAGTGAGCCAGTTTCCCCCTCTAAAATGAGAGTTGGATTTGGAGAATCCCTAAAGGTCTTTTGAGGTTTAAACCTAAGGGTCATTCATTGGAAATCAGAAATGGCTTGGTCTTCTCATACAAAAATGGCACTTATGACAAATTTGTTTAATCTTTTTTATATGAAAATATATTTCACACAAAACACAAACTTGATAAGATTAACAAATGTAGAGGAATTTAAATTCAGCAAGGTGTTCTGCTACATCAGTACAGACCTTTCAGTTTACACCCTTCAATGTGTATTTCAAAGAAGTGTTTTTATAAAAAAAACTTGTGGTATTAGGTTCACACCCTGTTTGAATTTTATGCATTCGTATTTCCATATATACAAATGACTTACAAAAATCTTTGCATTCATAGCATAAAACACGCTGTCCTTAGGAAGAAGGTCCTGGATCTGAGTTGGATTTTAGCAAGGTCAGATAAGAGGGCCTCTGACTTAACACTTAGTGAGGTAGTAGACATGTTCTCAGGTATGGAAGGCAAAAAGTGTTCCAAGTAGTCTCTTGTGGGTAAGTCATTGTGACAAGGCCCTTCCCTGCAGGCACATAGAATAGCAGAAAGATGAATTGAACAATGAAAAAAATTTGGTTTAAGTAAAATTTAAACGTTTGGCCAGGGTTTTTTTTTTTTTCTTTATAATAGCTCTTGTTTATAGGGTACTTGAATGTGGAGAAACAAAGTTACAGGAATCTTCCCATTGTTTCAAAGGTACTTAAGCTGTTGCAAAAGTTAGAATCATCGTGGAACGCAACAAAGTTTGTGTTTCAAACTACTACCAAGAATTTGTAGCAATGGAATTTGTGGCATCCTACTAATCTTGATGACCCACAGAATTTCGGATTTAGAAACTACAAGGACATCTACTACGAATCCTGCCCGAAGCAGGTATTCCCTTGTATAAAATCCCCAAGTGGCCAGAAGACTTCCACTTGAAGACCTCCAGTAAATTGGAACCAACAACCTCCTGAGGTACCCCAATTCCTTATCAAATGAGATAATACTTGGAAGAGTGATTGCCTGGTACATAAAAGCTAAATAAATGCTTATTCCCCTTCCTTTTGGAGAACTTTAAAGGAAGTTTTTTGTTTTTCCTCCTTAATAGTGAGAGCTTGTTTCAACAAGCCTCTCTGCAATTCCCCACCCCTAACTGCTGTTACTTCTGCCTTCTGGGACTAAGGAAAGGGATTATAATTCTTTCCTCTGACACCCTTTCAAATCTTGAACATAGCTATAATGTTCCTCTTTCAGTTTTCTTCACCCCAAGCAGCCCTAATTCCTTCAATCTCGCAAGACATAGTCTCTAGGTCTTTGTACAAAGTGAAAGAACAAATAAGTTCATTTCCAAAAGACACTGGTTTTAAATGGAACATATACCTTCTGAAATTTACATGGGCACAAACTACCATTTGGAGCAAAGTGGCGAATATAATAGGAACATCTCTTGTTTATAATTTATCTCAGAGACCTTTTGAAATATTTCCACATCCATTACCTGAGAATCATGAAAAGTTGGAGCCAGTGGTTTCAAAGAAGTGCTGCTTCTTACCTGGTTCCTTGTGAGATGAGAGTCTTTAAGTAGGGAAACTTCTAGTTGTGACAAGCTGGGTGCCAGAAACATAGAATCTGCAGAAGTGCTGGTAACCAGTTCATCTAAAGCATCAACTTGTCTCTTCAAACTGTGTAAAGTGCCTTCTGTTTGTTGTTTGCCTTTCATTAAGGCCTCTGCTTGCTTGAACATAGAACAGCGAAGCTGGGCCTAAAAATTGTTTTGTTGCAACTTAAATATCTATATGAGTAGTCAAATGCATTACAAACATTACCTTTTTGGGGGGGGGGTGAGGCAATTGGGGTTAAGTGACTTGCCCAGGGTCACACAGGTAGTAAGTGTCAAGGGTCTGAGGCCATATTTGAACTCGGGTCCTTCTGACTCCAAGGCCAGAGCTCTACCCATTGTGCCACTCAGTTGCCCCTAAACATTACCTTCTAATGCTCAATAGCAAAGATGCACTAATTTAAAATCAGTGGATGCTGGAAGAGAGTCATCTGTTAAATGAATGATTTGGACTAAATGATCTAAGGCTCTCTCTGAATCCCATAATTTTGATCCTAAAACAGCAATTTGTTTCTATAGCACTTTATAGTTGACAAAAAACTCTCTCCTCAACAACCCTGTAAGTTAGACAGGGCAAGTATTTCAGCACCATTTTACAGAGGAGGAGACTTATAAGACTCAGAGAAAGGAGATGACAGAGCCAAGTATAGGGTAGATCCAAGCTCTGAATCCAAACCTCTTCCCTGAGGTTGAAAATGCACTGGATTTGGACTCTGAAGATGTGTTTCCTTTTGTGTAAAATGAAGCAATTGGACTACAATCTAGTCACTAGATGATGTCTCGGGTCTCTTTGAATTCTATTGTCTTAAAGCTAAATGAGAAACCCCATTCTGCCACTTACTGTGTAACTAACTGGTCGAGTCACTTCATCTTTTGGGCTTCAGTGTTCTCATCTATAAACTGATGATTTCCAAGGTCATCTTATAATCAGATGATCCGATGACTAAATCCAATGCTGTTTCCAATGTTATGTGGTACCTCAACATTCCAGAATCAATGCTGGATACATTTAGTACCTCAACTTAAAATGTTCTACTATAGCAGGATGTAGTGGAAATTGTGCTAGCTCTGGAGCCAGAGGGCTTGGATTAAAATCTTGGCTTGGCTCTCCTTTTTTGTTGAGTTGTTTTTCAGTTACATCCGACTCTTCATATCACATTTTGGGTTTTCTTGGAAAAGACACTGGAATTGTTTGCCAATTCCTTCTCCAGCTCATTTTACAGATGAAGAAACTGAGGCAAACAGGGTTAAGTGATTTGCCTAGGGTCACCCAGCTAGTAAGTTTCTGAGGCCAGATTTGAACTCAGGAAGATGGGTCTTTGTGACACCAGGCCTGGTGTTCTATCCACTGTGACACCTAGCTGCCCTTTGACTCTCCTTACCACTGCTATGACCTCAGTCTAAGCCCTTACTTGGACCTTGGCTTCCCCATCTCTAAAATGGGAATGGATGGACTCTAAGGCACCTTCCACTTTTAAATGATCCTAATACTTCTCTACCTTAATCTTAGTGGCTCATATAGTATTTACTCAAAATACAACCTTGAGTTTGTCTTCATGGTGACGCAGTTTCTCTCTCATGGCTTC